TTTTAATCATTTGATATTTGTACAAATTATATATTAGCATATTTAACAAATTATAACTAGTGCAAGTCAGCACTACCCAATACTACCCAATCATTAACGTCACCTTCACATAGGACTAGTTTAAGTATTCCATTGTCCCATCCTAAACCGTTATCTGTTAAATCATCTGAATCGCAATTATCTATATTCAAATAGTCTTGAATCCTTGTTTTTATTGTCCTCCACAATGCGCTGTCGATGGGATGTAAGTCGCTGTAAACCAAAGAAAGATGTGGATCGAATTCGGTTACACTCCACAGAGATGCTTGCTCTTGAGCCTCACGCTGGATTCTAGGCATATCTATCTCTTCTATCTTTCTATCTTGTGACTGTCTCGACTTCTTCTTAACTGTATTTCCATGACTATCCGTAGTATATAAGTGTGGATTTTTCTTCATGTTTTCATTTTCAATATCAGCTGGTAATTGTACAAATAGTTCTCTAATTATTGTTGCAAAGGAAACTAAATTTGGATCCCTTGCTACTTGGAAATATAACTTTTTGAAAAACTTTCTTTGACTGTCCACTTTACCTAATGTTACTAAATTAGAATGATTTTTTGGTAACGAATCTATCGCAACTAAGCTTGCAGATAAAATTCTGTACACATCATCTTTGGTTTTATCGGGATGATCCAAGTCTATGTCAATGTTTGAAGATATAGTTATATGGGGTTCGAATTTTGGTGGCTGACTTGGGAATAGGGTATTTAGTGAACTCATTAGAGTCATTAATTTATCATAGAGAGGAGAATTTGTTTTAGGACATAACCATAATGCAACGCCTAATGCTAGTGGTAGGGCTTGTTAGTAACTTATATTCAATTGAATTGATTAATACTTTAAAACATACCCATTTTTATGTAAGGATATTATTTATATCTAATGGCTGATAAAGATATGTTTTTTTTCAATTCTTCTTAGTAAGTCGCATTTACCCTTAAATTTCATAAAGACACACAACACTGTTCTTTAATCGATATGTACGTATACGAATATTTTACAACACACGAAGCATATATATAGAAGTAAAGGAATCTTTGAATTTAAAAGCTTGTTCTTTTATATTTACGTATATATTTAGTAGTTTAGTATTTCGAAGAGATCACGTTGATACCTTCAATTGCACTGTCGTCAACAAACCACAGAACCTCGACTCCAGTATCCAAATCATTAACTAACTTAGATGGCAATTTACTTGACTTATTAGTGAAAATTTCTTCCAAAATTGGAGCCTTACCAGCACCCTCAGCAACAAAGGCAATTGAAGTAGCTCTTTCTAACACTGGAAAAGTAAAAGTAATTCTTCTTGGAGGTGGTTTTGGAGAATCATTGATACTTGAGATGAATTCGTTTCTTTCTTGCAAAAGTTTATGTTCTGGGAATAATGAACAGGTGTGGCCATCAGGACCGCATCCTAAGAGAATCAAGTCGAATTTTGCGTTTTCAGGCAAAGATGCTTCGTAACTCTTAGCAATTTCCTGGTCTTTCAGTAAAGAAGAAGATTCAACTTGTCCATCCTTACCAGTTAATAAACTTTCGTCAATGGTTTTGACCTTAGGCTTTGTGGTACTAGCTGGTAAATTCGACAAGACCATTTCGTTAAACAATCCATAGTTAGAATCAGGATGATCTAATGGCACCAATCTTTCGTCACTAAAATAAACCTCCCATTTATCCCATTGTACATTTGGTGCAATTGTTGAATTGTCAATTAAGCACTGCTTCAAAACTTTTCCTAATGATCCACCCGATAACGCAATTTTGAATGTCGATGATGATTTTAATGATTCATCTTGAATTTTCAAAATGTGCTTACCAACTGCGTTGGCAACATCATCATGTTTAGCGTGCGAATATACCTTTGCTGACATTGATACAATAGTGATACTTTTTTACCTAATTATAAAGAGGTATGATTCATGCCTCTTTTCCCTGAAGAACGCTATATAGTAGATTAACAAAAGCAAGCCTCCGCACGACTCAACTAAATGTATGTTAAATTTATATTATACAAGTCTAAATTACATATATGTGATTACTGATCAAGAAAGTGGGAGTATTCAGCACTATCCTTGATTTTGTTATTCATGAATTTTTCTAATTTGGTAGCGTTTTTGAAATAGGTCGTAGAATCAGCATTATAAGAACGACAATTGTTGAAAATCAACCTAGCATCATACAAGAATTGGTCAAATGAATCGTACTTATCATTTTCCAATTTCAGTTCCATTGTTGATAAGTCCATTGGCTCTTTGATTACATCGTAGTAGTCGCCTACTTCCTCTTTATTAACTGGAGCTGAAAATGGCCATGCAGATGGATGGTTAGTCAATTCTGATAACAAAGTTACCATAAAATTATAATGAGGCCCTCTCTTAGGTTTCTGTGCCAACTTATCCATTTCTTCCAGCCATCCACTCTCTGATAACCCTGGAATATCTTTTGCTGGATTGAGTTTTGCATCTTTATTTGTTTTAAAAACCTGCAACCCCGGCCTAACTATATGAGCCTTTGATCTCTGTTTGATCTTTTTCTCGATCGCAGCTTTCTGTAATAATAAAATTTTAGCCAGATCCAAATAACGCAAAATCAGCGGTAGCATCGAACACTGCATGAGTGTACCCCCTTCATAATCCTTGATATAACCCATCCAGACAGATTTATCTAACGTAATTTCTTTAGTGAAGCCTTGCTTCTTGAAGTATCCAATGGCATAATTATCTGCATAAGTAAGAAAGTATTTCACATTGGAAGTGGCCCTACAGTAATCTTTCAAGTGATTCATCAAATGTGCACCATATCCCCGAACCTGTTCTGTCGATGAAATTGCACAGAAAACAATTTCTGCAAACTCTCTATTATCAAATGGCCTATACGTTATTCCCCCTACAACTGTTAGTGGCTTTCGGACCACAGCCATGGATAAATGTGATCTATCATACACCAACCGAGATATATATTCTCGCGGCATCTTGGGTAATTGCTTTTGAAAGATATTTTTCAACCCCGTCAACACCATTAAACTCTCCTTTGTATTATCGTTATTCACCACCCGGAACTCTATCTTACCTTCCTTTTCTTCGATCACCGATGGCCGTTCTTTGAACGAATATGTAACCCCATCGAAGTTGAACGTTGTCGTCCTTTTCTTTTCTTCTTCTGCTTCGTCGTCATCTTCGTCGTCTTCGTCATCGTCACCGTCTCCTCCTCCGCCTCCATTTTCTGTATGTCCATCTTCATTGTCATTTTCAGCTTTTTCTTTTTCATCTGTATTGTCTTCCAGGGCCTCTCCATTCTTCACGTCATTATCAACTTCATCATCTATTTCATCTTTTATCTTTGTTTTTTTATCTACACGCCCATTTCCTTCATTATCTGATATAGCTGAAGAGGTACGCTTCCTGTCTACCATACTCCACCAATTATTTTCAATTTCACGGATTGATTAATCACTTGTCAACGGTACCCAATATTGATAGAGTCGAGCTTATACGTGCACCGAATCTTCGTCATAAGTTACATAATTGTGGCACGTGATTGGGATGACTATATTTTTTTTTTATCATACTAAGGAAGAGATGAAATGAAAAATCGCCATCATCTTTGTTCTGTAAGTTGTAAGGAAATAGACATAATAAGAGAAAATATGTCTAATTATACTCAGTTAGGTCATACCCATGACCAACAACAACCGGTGGCTACCGTGTTGTGTTGCAACTGTGGTGTTCCAATGGATGGATCTACAGGATTAGTAATGTGTTACGACTGTATCAAATTAACAGTGGATATAACAGAAGGAATCCCAAGAGAAGCAAATGTTTCGTTTTGTAGAAATTGTGAAAGGTTTTTACAACCACCTCAACAGTGGATTAGGGCGGAGTTGGAATCAAGAGAATTATTGGCCTTGTGTTTAAGAAGACTTAAGGGATTAAATAAGGTAAGATTGATAGATGCATCGTTCATTTGGACAGAACCACATTCTCGTCGTATCAGAGTCAAGTTGACTGTTCAAGGGGAAGCTATGTCCAATACTATTGTGCAACAAACATTTGAGGTAGAATACGTTGTTGTTGCAATGCAATGTCCAGATTGTGCCAAGTCCTACACCACTAATACATGGAGAGCAACAGTTCAAATTAGACAAAAGGTTCCGCATAAGAGAACATTCTTGTACTTAGAACAATTGATTTTAAAGCACAATGCCCATATTGATACTGTGTCTATCAAAGAATCAAAGGATGGGTTAGATTTTTTCTATGGCCAGAAGAACCACGCAGTTAAAATGTTGGACTTCTTATCTGCTGTTGTCCCTATCAAGTCGAAGAAGTCTGAAGAATTGGTCAGTACCGATATTCATTCTTCATCATCTTCGTATAAATTTTCATACTCGGTTGAAATCGTGCCCATCTGTCGTGATGATTTGGTTGTGTTACCAAAGAAATTGGCTAACTCGTTAGGTAACATTTCCAGGTTAGTTTTATGTTCAAAAATTTCCAATTCGATTCAATTCTTTGATCCTGCGCTGTTGCAAGCTGCGGATTTAAATGCACCAGTCTACTGGAGAACTCCCTTCCCATCTTTATTGAATGCTACTGAATTAGTTGAGTTCATAGTCTTGGATGTCGAGCCAACTGGCGACATTAGAGGTAAGCATGTGTTAGCTGACATTACTGTTAGTCGTGCTAGTGACTTCGGTTCGAATGATAACTCGTTCTACGTTAGATCTCATTTGGGTGCCATCTTACACCCTGGTGATTCTTGTTTGGGTTACTATTTAGCTAATTCTAACCTCAATTCTGATTTATTTGATACCCTTGATACCGATAACATCCCAGACGTTATTTTGGTTAAGAAACATTACGCCAGAAAGTCACGTAAATCAAAGAACAGAAAGTGGAAGTTAAAGAGAATGGCTAAGGAACATAATGATATTATTGCCAACGATGACTCTAGACAAGCAAAACAAGAACAAGAACGTGCTGAAAGAGATTACGAATTATTCTTGCAACAATTAGAAGAGGATGATGAATTAAGACAAACTATTAACTTATATAAGGCAGGTGATGAGCAATATCCAAAACCTTCAGAGACTGATATGGAAGATGAAGATGATGACGAAGATGCCCCTCAAATTGGAATTGATGAATTGTTGGATGAATTAGATGATATGACTTTAGAAGATCATCCTATGGACGGTTAGTCCGTCTGCATCTCTGTATAACCTGTATTCTATATATTTCAATAATCCGTATATACTGCATATAATAAACTTTTACTAATTGCAAGGAACATGGCCTTTATCAGTAAATGAAGTCATCCTGTTAGAAATTGGCTAAACGGATACATAAACCCTAGAATAATAAGTAATTGAATAGCAAGTCAAATATTAATCATCTCATATATTCATAACACAAGATGTCGAATGTTTCTACAACCACTGAAAACAAGCACTTAAAATTCACGCCAATTCAGTCATTTGTGGAGTCATCATTCTTTACGAAACTATCAGAGTTGAAATTGAATGAATTCAAGTTAGATTCTACAAAGAAGCAAATAAAAGGGTTCTCTACTCATCCAAGAAGACTAAATAAGTTTAATGATCATCCTACTATCAATTTTGATTATTCTAGCTTTGATAAGGGTCTGAATGTAGATGATAGCAACATTTCATGGAAAGGATATGTCTATAATGTTAATACAATCGAGGAATTTAAAGATATAGATAAGCAGGCAACCTTAAAGCGATGGGGCACTGAGATATTTGACAAGATCAAGGATAGTAGTGCAGATTTGGGTTATGAATGTATTAACAAAGTCCACCTTTTAGCATTCTGTGATCTAAAGAAATATAAATTTTATTACTGGTTTGCATTTCCAACTTTACATTCACCGTGGAATATAATTCGGAGCGAGGAAGATATTGTGGAATCGTTTATTCCAAGTATCAAGGATTTTGTAGATACTTCTAAATTTGTACAGTTTTTCCAAATCGGCGATGGAAATATGATTGAAAGGATCCTGGACTTTCAAGATAATAAAGTATTTGTATTTATTGATACATGTCTAAGTCAAGAATGTGCCCCCTCGGTGCAATTAAAAAACTACCTATACATTTTAGCTCATAAAGGATTTGAGGAGATCGATTTAATAATATACAGAAATAATGGCAGCTCTTTCTTTTGGAAATTGCAACTTGATAAAAATAAATTTACTATAAATGAAGTTCCAAAGATATTGGGTTGGGAAAGATTAAGCAGTGGAAAGTTTGGTCCTAGGCTTGCTGACTTAGGTTCGTTAATTGACCCACAGGAGCTAGCCAAGCAGGCAGTGGACTTGAATCTAAAGTTAATGAAATGGAGGATAGCACCAAATTTGGACCTAAACTTAATAAAAAATCAACGAGTCTTGCTTTTGGGCGCGGGGACTCTTGGTAGTTACGTTTCTAGAGCACTTATGGGATGGGGTGTAAGGAATATAACCTTTGTTGATAATGGACGAATTTCGTATTCTAATCCAGTTCGTCAGCCTTTGTTCAGCTTCAAGGACTGCTATAGTGATGAAGGACAAGGGGAATGGAAGGCCATTAGGGCTGCAAATATGTTGAAAGAAATATTTCCCGATGTTCAGTCTAAGGGTTATAATTTAGAGGTGCCAATGATTGGGCACCCAGTTAACGATGAACAAAAACAAAAGTCAAATTTTGATAAATTAAGTGATTTGTTTGATGACCACGACATAGTATTCTTATTGATGGATTCAAGAGAAGCAAGATGGTTGCCTACAGTTCTAGGTCTTGCAAAAGACAAAATAGTGCTTAATGCTGCATTGGGTTTTGATAGTTACTTAGTAATGAGACATGGAAATATATCTCAAGAAAGCAATGATCACTTGAGATTGGGCTGTTACTTTTGTAATGATGTTGTAGCTCCAAATGATAGTTTATCGGATCGTACATTGGATCAAATGTGTACAGTAACTCGACCAGGTGTGGCGTTGATGGCTTCATCTTTGGTGGTTGAATTGCTTGTATCGATATTGCAGCATCCCAGAAAGCAATATGCAGAGCCGGGCCCTGCAAATAGTTCCATATTAGGTGAAGTTCCCCATCAGATTAGAGGGTTTTTACATAATTACACTCAGAACAAATTACAAACACCAAATTATAAACATTGTTCTGCATGCTCGAAGTATGTGATAGATAAGTTGAATGAGTTAGGGTGGGTGTTCGTTAAGAACTGCCTCAATGATGTAGCGTACCTTGAAGAAACCTGTGGGTTGCTAAAGGTTCAACAAGAGGCTGATCTAGCATCTTCAGAATTATTAAAGGACTTGGAACTAAGTGATGACGATGATAGTGAATGGTTGGATTAGAATACCATTTTTCGAATGTATTATATCAAGATTTACAATCTCTAACCATAGATATATTATGCGCGCGTTTAATAAAATAAAAATTGTTTGTTTATTTATTGTATTGAAAGGCATACAGCTGTCTACAAGGTATAATATATATGGGAATAGGATGACGAGTTTCATATCTTCACAAATGGGGGATATTGAGCAGGATATTGCTCTATTATCCAATCAACCCAATGTTTTAAATACCTGTGTAAATCAAGCACCTCGAGGACGAAATAAAACAAGACCTTATCCACTAAGTGAATTGAATGACTTGAAAATACAGCAAGGATTAATAATTAAGGATTTGTTATTCTCGTTGATTGGATACGAAGGATGTTACATTAGATATAGCGAAAAATTTGATCCGAGTGATATCAACTCCAAAATAAGAGGTCCTGATTTTAAAATCGCCAAACATCTAGATATAAGTTTGAAGTGTATTACCAAAAAACTAGTGAAATTTGGAAAGTACTACTCTGGATTGAATGGATTTTTAGAGTTATACGATAGGCCTGAATTTGGTAAGGTGGTGCAAAGGTTATGCTTTGAAATTAGTGAATTCCTTATTAGCTACCAACAAGTTATTAAACAGATAGAGGATGAATTCAAATTTAATTCAACATTTAACCTTAGCATATTTGAAACAATATTAATCCAAAAATTATCTCTCAAATTAAGTCATTTCTATGATATTGTCATATCTGTTCATACTGAAACGATTGAACGAAGCAAATACAAACATCAAACAAGTGAATCATATTTCAATAACTTCATTAAAAGCATCCAAAATGATCTTAAAGAAACAGGTTCTATAGACCTTGCCACTGATAATGTGAATTTTGAATTTTGTAAAGGAGGAATTCTCCTAAAGATAATCCAAGACAGGATTAATGCATATCAAGGGGACGTGATTTCTTTAGAATTCTTGACTAAAATATTTGATGTTGTTAGCGTTGATTATGTTTCTATGCTTAATAATTGGGTAATTAATGGAGAGATAGATGACTCAGCTGAGGAATTCGTAATCAAGATGAATAAGTTTCCAGATAACCCTGACAGTCCGATTTACCGTAATGGAGAAAAGTATTGGGATGAATTATATGTCACAAGAACTGATGGGGTCATAGATCAGTTTTCGAGTAAGGATATACAATTGAAAATACTAGCGACTGGAAAGTACCTAAATATCTTCAAAGCTTGTACAGGACTTTATGATTTTCAACAATTAAATGAAACAATACAACCTATAGATAGGTTATATTCACAAGATCTAGAGTGGAAAATTAATGAATATTATAAAAGAGCTAATAAGTTGCTTATGAAGTTGTTATTCGAAGGGTATCAATTTTCAAGTTTAATCGATAGTTTCCAGAATCTTTTCTTGTTCAAGGATTCTTCAAAGATTGACGTCTTTCTAGACAAATCATTTAATGATTTACGAAAAAACAAACACGCAATTTCAACTTCTAGACTTGCTAAGCTTTATGACGATACATTGCAACGTAAAAAGGACGAGTTTCAAGTGAAAGATATAAATAAACAAAAGAGTATATCTGATGATAGTATATGTGACGTTTTAAGCTACTCCCTGAGTTTGTCTGTTGATTTTACTAATTTTTATGACTTAGCAGAAGAAATTCTAAATGTCAAATCATTTGATGCAGAAGAAGCATTTAGGAATGGTCAGAATTCTAGTATTTTTAAAGCTCTATTAAATAAATCATTAGAAAGAGATCAAATGAACTCTGCAGCTTCAAATAATTTACCAAGCAGTTATGATCCCGATCATTCAGATGAGTACGCGATTGCTGGGGTTAATTTAGATATGGATTTACCATTTCCCTTGAATATAATTATAGGACAAAACTATGTTCTTGAATACCAATTAATTTTCAAATTACAAATGATTGTGAAGTTTATTAATAAATTGATTGATAATTCATGGAAAGAGATTAATTACTCCACCGTGTGGAAATATCCTGGATTTCATCCGAGAATTAAAAAGTGGATTTTGAGATGCCGTATATTGAATAATAGAATGAAAGATTTCATGAACGACTTGCAGTTTTATCTAAATTTTGACATAATTGAAACTAATTTTGATACCTTTAAACAAACCTTTAAGGAAATACAAAGATTATTAGATGAGGAGAAACTTGGATCAAATATAGATCATCAAAATATTCACAACAATGGCATTGGGTTTAAAAATGGTTCCTTAGCTAATTATAATCATAACAATCTTTTTGATGAAAAAATATTAAATCATAATCAGAATTTTAATGATTTTCCAAATGGCAATTTGATCAATATAGATAATTTGATCAATAAACTTGGTTCCTTCTTAAATAATATCTTGAGGGATTCGTTTATTACTAACAAGGTTTTAATTGATGTCCTCAAAAATATGTTTGATCTGATAATCCTGTACAATCATTATTTGAACAGGTTAAAAAAGTCTTTAATAATGTCAGACAAGGATTTATTTCACAAATTCAGCCAGGATTATCCGGAAAAATTTCAAAATAGAGTAATGGATGATGAACTGATTGAGGCCAGGTTTAAAAATTTGGATGGCATGCTAAATTCACATTTTGAAATTTTTAATGATTCACTAACTGAATTTATAGTTACTTTGAAGTCCCATGGCAACTTAGAAAATCAACTGTTTTTAATTTTGATTGAAAGGTTAGAGCATTGTTTTCCAGATCATTAAATTTATTTATTATTTAGATGACTATTTAGATAATTTATATTCATAATTCAACTAGCATCAACTTCCGCGTCAGCTTCACTTTGTTGTTCATTTAAAACATTAATAATTTCATTTGTCTTTTCATCACTGTAAACTTGGAAGCCATGTTCAGCAGTAACACTTGCCAATTGAGCATTCTTACAGTCCAATTTTTCTTCCATGACTTGCTTTAAAATCTTTAAACTTAACAATTCTGCTTCCTTCAATGTTAATGATTTATGATATTCATTCTGTAGTTCAGCTTGAGCACCTTCAGATCCTGAGCCAATGGCCTTAGCATCGTATCTATAGAATGTACCCGAAGGTTCGGCGTGGTATAATTGAGGGCCCTTATCTTTATCAATTCCTGCTATTAATAAGGCAACACCAAAAGGTCTTGACATTAATCTCTTTTCACCACTAGCACCTTCTCCGAATCTCAAGGCCAAATCACAAACAGATTGAGTCAAACTCTCGACTTGAATCTCTTCGTCATAATATAAGTTATGAGTCAATGACGAAACTCTGGCGTGGTCGATCATTGACCTTGCATCTGCAGTTAAACCTGACATTGCACAACCAATATGCTTATCGACCTCAATGATCTTTTCAATGGATGAATGCTCTAACAAGGATGAAGTGACTCTTTTTTCGACCCCCAAAATCACGCCTTCAGATGTTGAAATACCAATTGCAGTAGATCCCAATTTAATGGCCTCTAATGAATATTCAACTTGAAACAATCTCCCCTCTGGTGAGAATGTACTCACACCACGGTCATATTCACTTCTAGTTAAAAACATCCTATTATATTATCTAAATCTACCTATTTGTTTATATTAAAGAAGTGTTCTAATGCTTATTTGCCTTGTAAGGTTTAAAGCCTGTTGATTGATATTTGAGACTCAGTGGCAAGCACGGTTTTGTGTAACTTCACGACATTGCAACGTTGATATAGATCTTACATAGACAAGTGAATTCGTTGTTGGCTACGATCATCTAGAAGTAATATGATAATTTTTTATTTGAATTTGTTGTTAAGAAAAATGATATAAAAATGTAGTAATACGATTAAGAAGCTTAAGCCTTTGGAGCTAAAGAAACAATCTTTTCAGCAGCTGGGTCTAAGTCTTCGAAAGCGTATAATTTCAAACCAGAGTTATCAATTAATTCCTTAGCTTGAGCCATGTTAGTACCTTGTAATCTAACGACAACTGGAATATCTAAGTTGAAGTTCTTAGTAGCAGCAATCAAACCTTCAGCGACGTAGTCACATCTGACAATACCACCGAAGATGTTGACGAAAATACCATTAACCTTTTTGTCGGATAAGATTAATTCGAATGCCTTTTCGATAGTTTCTGGAGTAGCAGTACCACCGCAATCTAAGAAGTTAGCAGGAGCACCACCGTATAACTTGATGATATCCATAGTGGCCATAGCTAAACCAGCACCGTTAACGATGTTGGCAATGTTACCATCTAACTTGATGAAATTCAAACCGTATTCAGCAGCCATGACTTCTTCTGGGTCTTCTTGGGTGGTATCTCTCCATGAGAAAACTTCTTTTTGACGGAAAGCAGCATTGTCATCGAAGTTCAACTTAGCGTCCATGGCCAAAACTTTGTGGTCTGGGGTTTCGGATAATGGGTTGATTTCAACTTGAGTACAGTCTCTTTCCATGAAAACCTTGTACAAGTTTTGGATAGTCTTAGCAGCTTCTGGAATGGCTTCTTGGGTGTAGCCTAAGACTGATGCAATTTCAGTAGCCAATTTGTCAGAAACACCTTCCTCCAATGGAACTGGGAAACTCTTGATGGCACTTGGATCCTTGGCAGCGACACCTTCAATGTCCATACCACCTTGGGAAGAAGCAACAATCAATGGGGTTTGGGTACTTCTGTCCATCAAAATAGCCAAGTAAGCTTCTGTCCTGGCGTCTCTTCTTTCAACAATGTACACAGCAGTAACTTCCTTACCAGCTTCACCAGTTTGCTTGGTGATCAACTTGTGGCCTAACATCTTTTCGGCCAAGTCTCTGGCTTCTTCTGGGGATGAAATCAACTTAACACCACCTTGGAAACCGTTGTCAAAGTGTCCTTTACCACGACCACCGGTTAAGGCTTGTGCCTTGACGACTAATTCGTTAGTGCCTAATGCCTTGGCTGCTTCGTATGCCTTTTCTGGTGTAGTAGCAGCACTACCTTCTGGAACACCAACACCGTAGGTCTTCAACAAAGCAGCTGAACGGAATTCGTGTAATGATAAGAATCTTTTTTGATTGGCAACAGTCTAAATCAGTTAGTATTTGGCTCTTTCCATCTCCCGCCGGCTCGTCGTCAAACGTTCCAATTGATACGATGAAGGTCAATATATGGCCCTGTTCGTCCAATTCAGCCGCCATTCTCTCACTCTACTCACTTTTGAAGCACGGGCAATATTTCTAGACAACATCTTTAATTTACTATAGTATATAAATCAGAAAACAATATACACTTGTCAACAATTCTCTTATATTAATGATTTCTATGAAACTCTCTCGGACGTTCGTGCGCCGCCTGGAAATTTTCCACCTCGGGTGTCTCTGTGTAGCGATTATGTAAGTGATATACAACGTATACTTCGAATTTTTACAAGGGCTAAAGACGAAATGGCTTCACTAGATCCATCTCTGGTATATGCTTCATCTGCGGACAACTTATGTCTGATATACCTTATCAGGCGGTGTTTTAGTTAGCTTGTGCAACATCGTGGAACCCTTACCCGAATGTTCGCATCCCGGACTCCTCCCTACACGACGTGTCCGGGCATCGGAATCACATAATGGATAACTCCTCTCCAGGGGGTTACTGGTGCAAATATTACATCGTGAAGGGATTTTGCATTGGATTTATCTTATAGGCATGATATCGACTATTGTAGACAAGCGATTTATATCTAGCTTATACTCAAGACCCTAGCTGCCCAGTTGACATCGCGTATCGGTTAGAAAGAACGTTGCAGTACAGAACACCCTGGGTGTGGTATTATGTGCAGTATGGGTACTTAATGAACAATTTTTTTTTCACAATCAGAGAATTTGCAATGAATTGTAGAACATATCAGAATATATATAGAGGATCAGTAGAGGAAAATGGCTAAAAGTACCAGGGGAAAGCCGGTAGTAATTAGGCCATCATATGATGACGATTCAGAATCGGACGGGGATCTCTCCAAAGTGTTGCAAGTGCGAGATGAGCCATCTGATGACGAAGACGATGACATGAACAGCATTTCATTTGGAGCATTAAATGCAGCACAACGAAAATTGGAGCAAAAAGCAGCCAAAAAGAAAGGAGGTAAATCTAAGAAGAAAAGCACTAGAGGAGATAGCAGTGACAGTGATAGTGATAATGATAGTTCAGACGAAGAAGGAGACTTTTTTGAGACGAGTGACAATGAAGACGATGCAAACAGACACAGCAAAGTAAATCCAGGAAGAAAGAACGGAAGAAGAGATGTTCAGAAGAAAAAAAACAAGCATGCACCATCAGAGGCGTCGTCTAAGAGGCCGGTGTCAAAGGTACGTGATATAGGGGGGCTAGAAAACAAGACTATGTACAGAGATATAAGATTTGACCCTGCCTACGGGAAAGCCAACTTAGACGATGTTCGTAAGAACTATTCGTTTTTGGACGACTATAGACAGCAAGAGGTTCAGGAAATGGAGCAGGTTCTCAAGAAAGACAAGAACTTATCGCAGTTCAATAAGCAGAAGCTTGAATTTAAAGTCCAGTCGTTGAAATCGAGATTAGACACGTTAAACAACAGAGATTTAGAAAATAAAATCCTTTCGGAGCATAAGAAGGAGCAACTCGCCAAATTCAAGAGTGGCAAACAAGCAAATCCATACTTTTTGAAGAAGTCCGATAAGAGGAAATTAATTCAAAAGGCCAAGTTCGACAACATGAAGGCATCTCAAAGAGAAAAGGTCATGGAACGTAAGAGAAAGAGAAGATTAGGAAAGGAATTTAAGGAATTAGAATTCAATCGTCATTAATATATATATATATAGTTAATTAATTAACAGACAAACAAATACTATACTAGCTATATAACAAGATAATTAACAAATAAAATAATAATAGTAACAGAAGCAACGAAATATTCATGGCAAGAAATCCCTAATGCATGCTTAAGTATGTTTGGCATTTTCCTTAGCTGCCCAGTCCTCGTATGAACCAACATAGTTACCTCTCTTCTTGTAACCAAAAGTATTAGCCAATTCTTCTGCGGCAGTCGATCTAACACCAGCTAAGCAGTAGAAAATTAATTCCTTATCCTTGCTTGGTTTATCAAAACCAAAGTTCTCATTGAATTCTTCTGGGCTTAAGTCTAAGGCACCTGGTGATGACTTGAATGGGATATTAATCGCATTAGGAATGTGGCCATCCTTATATTCAACCGGTTCTCTGACATCTATAATCAAAGACTCTGGGTGCGATGATGGATTATTAACAATCTCTTTGATGTTCTCGTATTTATATAATTTAGCCCCTGGTGATGAACTTAAGACGCTGTATAATCTGGATTGACATAAAACTTGATTGGAAAATTGTTTTGGAATATGATTTTTTGGTAATCTGTATGCGACCGACAAATTAATAGTATTTCTCGTTAATACGTTCCTGGCAATTGGGCCAGCTGATTGCTTCAAAGTTCTCAACGTAAACATTCTTCTGGTATCTATTTGAATCAACTATTCCTTGCTAATTGTTTTATAAAAACTAACAAACCTTCCTTCTTTTCTGACTCAAATTTATGGCGGTCGTGTGCACGAGAAAACATCTTTTGTTAATTTAGGCCAAGACTGAATAAATTTATATATTTAATCTAAATATGTGTTGAAACCCTATTTTAATCCTAAATAACTTCTAGTAATAACAAATAAAATAAAAAAATAATATTAATAATAATAAATAACAAAAAGAAAATGTAAAAACTTCGTAACATCATAAAGTGTTGAACTTCACAATTCTTGAATCAAACTCAATCTCTAGAATAAACCTTCGATTTCACCATCATCATTGACCTCGACGTTCATGAAACCACAGTGAGTAGGTAAACCTGGAATGGTTTGAATTTCAGCAGCTAAAGCGTATAAATAACCGGCACCAATGGAAGCCCTAACATCTCTGATAGGGAATTTGAAGCCAGTTGGAACACCCTTTAAGGCAGCATCATGAGATAACGAGTATTGAGTCTTTGCAATACAGATTGGCAAATTACCGAAACCTTGTTTGGTGTATGTATCAATCTTCTTTTGAGCTTCTGGTAAAAATTCGACTTCACCGGCTCCGTACATTTCCTTAGCGATGGCATTGATCTTCTCTTCGACTGATTTTTCAGCTTCATACAAGAACTTGAATTGCTTGTCTTGAGAGTTACAAGCTTCAATGATACCTTGACCTAATTCAACAGCACCCTTACCACCTTCTTCCCAGTGGTTGGAAACAATAGCATCAGTAGCACCGGCCTTTAATGCTTCTTCCTTGATGACTTGGTGCTCACTGTCAGAGTCTGAAGACATCTTGTTGATTGCAACAACAACTGGTAAACCGTATGACTTGGCATTTGAAATATGCTTGGCTAAGTTGGAGCAACCGGCTCTTAATAACTCAACATTTTCTTGGGTGTATTCAGGGGCCAATGGAGCACCAGCTTTAACTTCTGGACCACCACCATGAACTTTCAAAGCACGGACAGTAGCAACGATAACAATACAGTCAGGAACTAAACCAGATGAACGACACTTAATGTTAATAAATCTCTCACCACCCATAGTGAAATCGAAACCGGCTTCAGTAACAACGTAACCTTCTTGTTCCTTTCTTTGTTCTGGAGATAAACTTGGCGAAGTACCAGCTAATTTTAATGCCATCTTATCGGCTAAAATAGACGAAGCACCAATTGAAATATTAGCAAAAGGTCCAGCGTGAACAAATACAGGAGTACCTTCTAAGGTTTGCATAATATTTGGTTTAATTGCATCTTTCAATAATGCAGTTAAAGCACCAGCACAACCAATATCTTCACAAGTAATTGGAACACCAGCCTTGGATGAAGCAATAACCATATTACCTAATCTTTCACGTAAATCTTGCAATGAATTAGCTAATGCTAAGATGGCCATACATTCAGATGCAACTGAAATGTCAAAACCAGTCTTTCTAGTCATACCTCTTTCAGTTGGTGCCTCACCAACAGTGACTCCTCTCAAAAATCTATCATTACAATCGACAACTCTTCTCCAGGTAATAGTCTCAGGATCAATGTCTAATCTAACAAACTTAGAAATTTCTTCCTCAGTTAATTCGTTTGGATCGGTCTTATTGATACCTAACTTTTCTAATCTTCTTAACATACAGGTTGGGAATTTTCTAGAACCCTTCTTAGCTGGCACTAATCTTTTGTATAAAGGACCATCTTTTTGAGTATTTTCATGGAACATTCTTGTGTCAATTGCAGCAGCTAATAAATTATTGGCCATAGAAATAGCATGAATATCACCAGTAACATGCATGTTAAATTCGTCCATAGGAATGACTTGAGAGTAACCACCACCTGCAGCACCACCTTTAATACCGAAAGTTGGGCCCATAGATGGTTGTCTCACATTGGCAAAGACATTTTTGTTCAAGTGCGCACCTAAAGCTTGAGCTAAACCAACTGTGGTGGTAGATTTTCCTTCACCTAAAGGAGTTGGTGTAATCCCTGTGACCAAAACGTACTTACCATCCTTCTTGTTTTCTAAACGTTTTAAGATATCTAACGAAACTTTAGCCTTATAAGAACCAAACAATTCTAATTCACTATCTAAGATACCTGCTTCGTAGGCAACTTCATCAATCTTTTTAGGTTGTTGGGCTCTTGAAATTTCATAATCAGAAGGAACTGGGGTTTGTAAGTTTAATTTTAATGGGTTTGTGAACTTTGGAGTTTCATTGTTTTTGGAGTAGTGCTTCTTAGCAGCAATGATAACATTGTCTAACAAGGTTGCAACCGTCATTGGACCAACACCACCTGGAACTGGGGTCAATTTAGATGCCTTTGCAGAACATGATTCGAAATCACAGTCACCAACCATTCTAGAGCCTGATTTCTTTGAAGCGTCTGGAATGAAATTGGTACCAACATCAATAACTACAGCGCCTTCCTTTAACCATTCACCCCTGACGAAACCTGGCTTACCTATAGCAGCAACAACGATATCAGCCTGAGATAAGAAAGCTTCAACTTGGTTTTGAGGAGTTTGGGAGTGCAAAGTGGTAACAGTAGCGTTAGCTCTAGTCAATAAATTAGCAATTGGCTTACCAACAATGTCAGATCTACCTAATACAACTGCGTTAGCACCAGCGACTTGAACTTGCGATTGAGATAATAATTCCATAATACCCTTTGGTGTGCATGGTAAGTAATGTGGGTTACCACCTTTCTTGCTTAATTCACCAGCATTAAATGGACCAAATCCATCAACGTCTTTGTCAGCTAATACTGCACTTGTAACAGCAGCTTCATCTAAATGACCTGGGATAGGTAATTGAACCAAAATACCATCAACAGATTGTGACTCATTTAATTTCTGAATTTGATTTATTAATTCAAATTGAGTAATATCTTCTGGCAAATTAATGATAGTACACTGGACGGATGCCTCTTCTGCGGCCTTCAATTTCATTCTAACATATGTAGAAGAATCAGCTCTTTCACCAACTTGAATAATAGTCAAAGTTGGCTTGAAATCCTGATGTTGGGATTGAATTTGGTCAATTTCCGCATGAATTTTGGTACGAAGTTGTAAAGCAATGGCCTTACCATCGATTAACTGAGCAACCATTTTATTAAATTAAGCTTAGAGAGTGTAAGATCCTACTAAATAAAATGAAAAACTATAACCTTTGTCAAAATTTATCGGCCTGTTGAGTATGACTCGCGAAAAAAAAAAAAAGATAATAAAATGGTTAGGCCGAGTCGATTTTTCGCTAGCCAATTCGGATTAAGCATAACTCCGAATTGGCTTATAGTGAACGTTTACAGTTGTAATATATTAATAAGTATACCTGTTGAAGTCCATGAGAGCATTCATATTATAGATTAAAATAAATTTCGTAACTCGTTCATAGACTCCACAGATTCAACACTATGGTTTCTAACCTTGAATTTCGAATTAAGTCCCTTCAATACATCTCCAGGGCCTAAATTTATAATGTCGGTTATATTATTTCTTACTAGATATTCCATTGACTTTGTCCATTGAACAGGTTGCGAATTTGCTCTTATCGTGCTCAAAAGTGGATCTGCAGATACCTCACCTTGCAAATTTGAAATTATGGGTTTAGTAGGCTTTTGTATAGGTGTTGCCAATTGTAGTAACTTAGGCTCTATTTCATGTAATATCGAGTTGTGAAAGGGGATCTTGACAGGCAATTTGACTGTTTTCAAAATTTTTTTTGATTCGTTATTTATTGCTTTTATGGTCTCATCGATTTTCGACAGCTTGCCGGACAAGACTATTTGCTGGTATGAGTTGACATTTGCTAGCACTTCCATTTCCTTACTCTTGAGCATAATTTCGCTAAAGTAACTTGGCTTAAACATCAATGCTACCATCGAATAGTCGTCGCTGCTAACTAATTCTTCCATCAACCGTCCTCTTTCTCGTACTAGTTTTATTGCTCCAGTCAAATCTAACACTCCAGAAAGTAAAAGAGCTGTATATTCACCTAACGAATGACCCAATAAAAACTGAACCTTTTCATTCCGGGGTAAATCGATTCCATATTCCTTGCGTACTATCTCACATATAATGTATGTTGTTGCCAATATCGCTGGTTGCGCGTTAGATGTGTGTATGAGCCATTGTTTCCCGAACCCATCTTGGTTATTCAACAATTTCTCACTAAACTTCTCGTTCAAACTCTCATCGATGATCTCAAGACTTTCTTGAAAATGATGCTGAAATTTTGCATACGGGACCAATAATCCATCTTTAATTATTCCTTGCCCAGGACAAGTAATTGCATAGCCACTTACTTTGCTAGTTGAAGATAGCCACTTAGAATCAATTCTTAGACCTTTTGAAAACTTAGCTGCTGATTTGTACATTTTGTCCTTTATACATCGGAAGCATCCGTATCGGTCGTGAAATTTTGTCGCTTTTTCACTGCACTAAATCTCTCACTATACGATCACTAAATGTGCCATGACGAAAAATCCTAGCGACAAGCTGAATAAATTTCGCGATTCAATCGCTCCTGTCTTCCTCTAAAGAAAACACGTTCGCAAGGGAGGGTTGCGAACATCGTGCCATTATTTCGTAGCTATATTCTGCCTTAATAATAGACAGCTACACTAACATCTCTCGAATATCACTGAAAAGTAGCCAATTTTTCATGTTAACAATTTGTTTAGTCTTTTTGGATATCCATTATAATATATAGATGTTCTCATCGATATATGGAGTTTTCAAAAAGATATGTATTACTGGGTGCAAAATGTTGATGCTCTAACATAATGACTCTTTGTATTATTCTTCACAGCAATCGGTAAACAAGTTTGGTATCATTCGCACCGATTTTTGTGAATGCGAGTAAATTTGCCAATATAATAATAATCACTCACTAATTTGCTAAGGGCGGAGTGCGGTAAATTGGACGTCGTCCGCCGCGAGCCCCCCGGTGTTGTTTTTCGAACAAAATTATAATTGTGGACACAAATATTTTAGGACTAGATTATAACTAACAACAAATCGGACTGAATATTGTTGAATTTCTAAACATAAAGTATGTCAGAACTTAAAAACGCTAAAGATGCACTTGTTGCCTCGCTTTTTGAACTTTCTAAGGCCGCACAAGATGCAGCAACTGCAACCGTCAATTTTTACAAAGCATCGTCAACTGAAAACCTTAATGGAGAGTCATTAAACAATTTGGCTTCGACATTGAACAATATTGCTAGCAGCACTTCTGCCGCTGTTCCAGGAGTAGAAGAAGCATCTTCGCCTGCAGCAGCTTCTGGTGCAACCGCTAATGGTGGTGAGGCACAACCAGAAGAAAAGAAAAAGAGAAAGAAGGTTGAAAAAGACCCCAATGCTCCAAAGAAGCCATTGACCATCTACTTCGCTTACTCGTTTTACACTCGTGATCAAATCCGTCAAGAAAGAGCCAAGCAAGGTTTAACTCCTTTATCGGCATCCGAATTGAACGAAATTATCAAGGAACGTTGGAGCTCGATCAGTCCAGAAGAAAAGGCTAAATGGCAAAGCAAGTACCAAAATGAATTGCAGCAATACAATGTCTTGAAAGACGCATACAAGGCCGGAAAACCAGATGTCGGCCAGATTGAACCAAAGTCGATTGAACAAATTACTGCTCCTACTATTGAGCCTGTAAAGAAGGTCAAATCGGAATCAAAGAAGCGTAAATCTGAATCAAAGAAACTGGATGAAACCGAAAAATCTGACAAGACTGACAAGGAACCTAAAAAGTCTAAGAAGTCTAAGAAATCAGAAAAATCGGAAAAATCCTAGATCTATAAGTCAGTTTCTTGCTCATTCGCTTCTTGTTTGTATTTAATTAATACTTTTAATAATTGTATTATTATTGTTGTCTAGTGTATTTATTTAATTTTTATGTCAATGTTTGTATTACTATAAATTGTTTAATATTTATGTATATCGAAATCCTACTATACATTTTAATGACCTTGTTTCTTCTGCTTGGTGATATGAGCACGTAAAACCTTTTGCCTATCACGTAATGACAACTTTTGTTTACCTTGGACAGATTTTTTATGAATCATCATAACGAAATTCTTCTTTCTTGCCTTCTCTCTATTAGTGGTAGAGTGAGGAGCATCTCTCTTACCTCTTCTAGAACCAAACTTTTCACGGTCGTCTTTACCTTCTCTAGCTTGTGCAATTCTCTCTTCACGTAATTGCTTGTATTTAACTTTACCAACCAAAGTTGTCGAATCCACTTCTTCTTCGTTGTGCTTAATACCCAATGCCTTTTCCACACCTGCTTGGACTTTCAATTCTTCTAATTTTGCAAAATCCGCTGGAGTTAATATTCTACTAGACAATAATTCAGCCATTGCTTTTTCTGCATCCATAGCATCTTCTTTCTTTTCTTCCGAATTGTCTGTGGTCTTCAATTTCTTAGCGGGTCTATCTTCCTCATCATCATCCTTTTCGCCCTCATCTTGTTCATCAGAAGAAAGATCCAATTCTGAATCGTCTTCATCTTGTGGTTTAGCATCATCTTCCTTAACATCCTTCTCATCTTCAGAGTCACTAATATCATACTCCTTGTCAGATTCGACTGTAACCCAATCACCTTCGATATCGCTTGTATTACCTTCTTCCACTTCCCAGTTTTCTAAGTTGTTTTCATCATCTTCGCCATTTCCATTTTCTTGCTTCCATTTGGCCAATAATTCAATACCTGGAATAGAAGTAACGACAGAACCTTCAACCCCGAATTGAGGTCCTTTATTCTTTTCTCCTGATTGTAATCCCATACTTGCTGTTTTACCTCTATCTTTCTTTAATAACATTTGTGGTGCAACTTCTCTATACAACGTAATTAAAGATCTTGCAGCCAGCATAACTGCCTTAGCTTTAGATCCCTTATATTCCGTTAAATCTTGTAATAATGTAGCATCAATAGCCAAAGGTGCCCTCGATAAGATTTCTCTAATAGTGTTAATACCTGCAGATGCAACTTCCGTTGCAACACCATCACTAACGAACTCATCGGCAATCTTACGAACAACAGTTGAAATTGATTCTGGAGGGACCAAATCATGGGATGCTTGCGCAGCAGCAGCCATAATTTGAGTAACATTTCTTTGTTTTGGAGTTAAATACTTTAAGAAGAATGAATATATTCCAAGAACAGTTAACTTATGCGTACCAATTAATCTGGAAATCAAGTTCATAAACATGATTTTTTGATCTAAATCAAATCTATTAGAATTTTTTCCACTCAAGTGTTTCTCGAACAATTGTTCAGCAAATCCTTGAGGATCTCTTAACAAATGAATAGCCGAAAAATTCAAATATGTTGTAGATTGTTTAGCATTGCTTTTCTTTTTAATTGTTTTCACTGCCTGTTCTAACTTTTTAGTTTTCTTAAGCGATTTCTTTTGGATTTGCATTCTATGTTTTAATGCTCCCATATCAAACCTTTCATCATCTGAACTGTCATCTTCAAAATTTTCTTCCCTTTCTTTATCAGCACCCAAAAAGAATTTAGTACCTGCTATAGCCACCTTAACATCAGGGTGCAAAGCAGCTTGTGTCATGATTTCTACTGTTCTAGAATCATCCCAGATACCTCTTCTCCATAATTCTCTAGTTAATTTTGTAGCCCATAATCCTTGTGCATCTCTTTGTTCTAATAAATTAAATAATAAAGCTTGAGTAGATCTGTTTAATTTCTGGTTTTTGGCTCCAGTATTTACCGATTTTAAAAGTGAAATCAATGTACTGTAAATTTGATGTCTTAAAGCTTTGATGTGTTGGCCACTCACTGAAGCAGCAGATGAATTACTATATGCGGATAACAATGGAAAAATTGTTTGAATCAAGGATTCTGCCGAAACAGTACCCTTGTTTCTTAACATAGTTAAACATTGAATAATTTTTTCCCTTAATTCTGGTGATAAATCTCTGTGATTGTTCAATAAAAGATTCTTCAATTCATCAGGATAGTTGCTCGTTTCTTTTGGATAACAATCACACACCGCTGAAACAAAACCAATCAACTCACCAAATTCAGTTCCCTTACTAGCTCCTGAAGGGTTCATTAAAAAGATATCTCTCAAAGATTCGTAATGAGAATATTGTTGTACGAATTCTTCATAATACGATTCTGGATCACGACGAACAACATTTTGTAACAAAATAATGTTAGTTGGTAAAATAGCAGCTCTTCTTCTTTTACCCATGTCTGAACTTTATAACTTTAAAAGATATTCTATACTTTTTCTATCTCCAGAATATTTCAAGTACTATTTATTCCTCATCCCATCGCACTAACAAAAAAAAAAAATTGCGACAAAAAAAAATAGTCGCGGGCTTAGAACCATTGATAACAAAGATTTTGCATTTATCTATTCACTATATACTATATACTATATCCCAATTTTTCCAGCCTTATTATCATCGAACAAATCACCAAGAGTTGCATAATTAATTTTCTTTGAGAATGACTTCTTTGAAAGCATTCTTTTGGCACTATCTGCCGCAGTCAAAGGTTCACCAGTGGCTTCATCAACACCTATGCCTGCCAATGCATCATTAATACCCATTTCGTTAAAATCACCGTCAATACCCTCCACACCTGCAATTGAATTTTTCGTTTGACGACGTTTCTTTCGGTTTGCACCAGAAGTATTACCAGTTAACTCATCTGTTTCTTGCTTTAAGCGCTTCTTTTCTTGGGCAACTATAAAGTCGTGGTTTAAACCTGTCCATAACCTTTCTTTAAGTTTATATTCGTCTTCAGTTAACAAGAAATGATCTAATTCTGAATCGTCAAGGTCATCAAAGTCCTTGGGGTCCGATGATATCTTTGATAATAAGTCCTCGGTTTTGGGCAAATTCTTCACCAAATTACGAGGCTTATCTATGTCTATCTTTTCTTCTTCATCAGTAGTTCTTTGCAACTCAGATGGTATCATATACATGGAGTTCTGTAAGCTTTTCCGTTGGTTTTGGATAATTCTAGCTAATTGCTCTGATATTTCATTCTCGGATAAATCACAATCCTTCAAGATAGTCTTTAAGAGTTTATCCTTTTTTGATTGTTGATTCTTGAGACGGTTATCTTCTATTATATCTTGCAAATCTTGCTTTTTTGTTGGTTCTTCATCAGAGGCATCACTATCATAATCGGGCGTATTATTCCTACTTTTTGCTAACTCTTCAAATTTCTTTAATGCGGCTTCTTTATCTTTTAATTGTTTGGCTAATTTCAACTCCAAATCACGATTTCTATCAAATGATGGAGGATTAGAAACTTCGGTATCTAGGGACTCTCTAAATGATTCAACAGTTAATTCACCAGACTTAGTCTTCTTGAACTCATTCAACCTACGCTGCAATGTTTCTTCTGCAACATGGGCAACTGCAACTATCTCTGCATGAGTTCTTCTGAAATTATTCATTCTAGCCGCTAATAAAACACAGGCCCCGGCCACACCTGCGGGACGTCTACCTTCATGGATCCAATCATTAGCCATTCTCTGCGCTAATTTCACCGCATCTTTAATAACCTTACTATTTTGATCGCGGAAGTTAAGCTTCTCAGCAAAATGTTGAATGAAAAGTGAGGGGTCTGCTAACGGCAACGACGTTATATGTAATGTTTTAACCATCTTTAAAAATGTTGCACCCAATGAATAAACTGAAATCTGCAAACGTGAACTAAAGTCTATTAACATATGATGCGTTTTTTCCTTTCTGCATGCAACATACAAACAAGCCGCAAGAACATTCTGTGATCTCCTCCCTTGAACAAAATTGTTCGTTAATGCCAATCTAAACCAGGCACCAGCTGCGTCCGCAATATAATCAGGTATTTTCAAAGCAGTTGCAATTCTTCTGATCTTCTTTTTACCGTTCGCTAACGTTTGTTCTCTACTTTCCATCGCATTCTGTCTGCCGTTAAATGTAGCTCTAGCTTGATCTGCACCAACCATGGCACCTTGAACCATGGCTGCTCCTGATGACGATTCTCCAAATTGCACCTCACTAACAATCGGATTTTCTACTTGGACTGTTCCACATCTTGAACAGGAAATATCTCCTGCTGCTGTATATCTGTCCACAGTAAAATTTGTGTGGCCACAATTTCGACATGCATTCTTCTTCGAGTTCTTCATCTTGCTTGGTTTACTTGACTTAGTCTATTATGTCTTCTATATCAAATATTCTTTGCTTATATGGCGTTATAAACAAGTCTATAAGGTATAATAGATTTATTTTTTGTTATTTCTAGTGTGGTACACGCACGATATTTCTGCAAAGAGGTTGATATGTATATATAGGGACACAGTTATTAGCAGATAAGGACATAGGTACGAGATGAGTAATAATATTAACGGTGATGACACGTTCACTCAGCTAAACAGGTTTAGGTTACAAGAATCAATTGAAATACCCGAAAGCACTATTCAAACTGAAATTTCAGAGCACGAAGACTACGACCATGAGATATCCCTATCAGAACGCCTGACTTTATTAGGGAGATTACCGTATAGTTTGATAATGAAAGTGTCTTCATCAGAGCCAAGAGATGTATTGCAGCTGGAGCGTACTTTCTTATCATTCATTAGATTTGCAACTTCGTTATTTTTCACAGCATTAGGAATAGTCATAAACTTCAAGTTAGATTCTTCAGGGAAAAGCGGGAAGAAAGAACCGCCATTCAACAATTCTAAGTATTCTACGGTAATTTCGTTTATATTATTCGTCTTATCCCTTTGTGTATTGGTTATCAGTGGGGTTAATTATTTTATCACGATTAAACGGTATGCTAAACACAAGATCGAGACATACAATTTCAATAATCTTGCTACGGTGATTTGTATGACGAGCATAATTATCACGTTAATCGCTATCAGTGTATCATTAATTATAGAAGGATACTTAGAAGAGTCTACATAAATCTATAATGCTTTATTTATTTCCTGGGTTATTTATGGTTTTTCTTTTTCTTCTTTGGTTCATTTGTTGAAATAATATCTTCCTTTGCTTGACGTTTACTTTTGTTAATCTTTCTCTTCTCTCCGAAATTCTCTCTATCCATATCCATTAAGGCCTCTCTCTTTGCAACACTAGTCTTATTCAAAGAATCCTTGATCACCTTATTATCACTAATATCTTCTATCAATTCCATCTTCTTATTTATCCTCTCCTCGATAGCCAAAATCCTATCGACGTCCTTTTCAGCAACGATAGATATAGCATCACCCTTTCTTCCTGCTCTTGCTGTTCTACCAACTCTATGGATGAAATCATCTGCATCTGCAGGTATATCGTAATTTACTACCAATTCTACAGTTGGTATATCTAAACCTCTTGAAGCAACATCAGTTGCAATTAATATTTTGGCTGCTCCTGCTTTAAATCTATGCAATGAATTTGTTCTTTCTGTTTGAGGCATTTCAGAATGCAATGAAGCCACTCTAAAATCCAATTTTCTTAATGTTCTTCTTAATAATTCGGCAGTTGCTGTTCTATTAGTGAATATTATACTTAACGAATCGCTATATTGGGGTAAATTCAAGATACTGTTTAAATATGCCTCCTTAACATATGATGGCACAAACACATATTTTACCAGTAAAGTGGAGGGAATCGCTACCTTATCAACAGTTTCAACTTCATGGATAAAGACAGGTAATTTTCCCTTTGGAACCGGCTTGTCTTTCAAAGCGCGTACAGCGTCTGTAACCGTAGCTGTGAATAGCAAAGTCTGCCTCTTTTCTGATGAAGGTAATATTTTAAAGCATCTTTCCAAATCACCTCCGAAACTATTACTCAAAAGTCTATCTGCCTCATCTAGAATCAAATATTTAACCCTTCTCAAACCACAAACGGTGTCTTCACCGCTATTTAAAATATGATCAGCTAGTCTACCTGGAGTAGCAATCACAAAATGTGGTCTCCTCTGTAATTCTAAAGCTTGTTTGACGATATCTTCACCACCCACAATCACACTCACTTTGATATTCATGGATGATCCCAATGCAGCAAATTGTTCTGCTATCTGTAACGCTAACTCTCTGGTGGGTGTCAAAACAAGTCCGTATATCCCTGAGGGATCTTCTGACCACTGAGTAAGCATCGGAGCTGCAAATGCAATTGTTTTACCACTACCTGTCTTAGCACCACCAATACAATCATGGCCTTTGAGAATTTTTGGAATACATGCAGATTGAATACTCGTTGGAGTATGAATTTTCATTGAATTCAATGCTTCGGATAACCATTTAGATACCCCGAGTTCTTCGAACGACATGTTCAAGTTAGTTATGAGTTATATGATATTGCTTATTTGATTAGCTACTTATGGTTCCATCGAGCGGCTTTTAGATTAAAAAAAAATTATGTTAATGAGATCACGTGAAAAGAATACTTAAAAGAAGATACTGAATACAAAGAATCTATAAGCAATTAACTTATTGCATAAATGTTAAGTATCAGGCATGCTTATGCTCCATTAAGCTTTCGGAGGTGCTTTAGCAAGACTTCACGTTGTTTTAATAAAGTGAATTTAGAGTCTAACATAAATGACCAATGGTTAAATGACTTGGAAGGCTCCACTGAAGAAGATATACCTGAGCCAGATTGCATCATCAGCAAAGTGAATGAATCAGATAATGACGAATCCAAAGTTCAATATTTGGATAACATTAAGTATAAACTCTTAGGCGTTGATAAAAATGGGCTTTCTGACATTCAAATGACATTACAGGATTATTTCATGGGAAACGAACACCATACCCATAACGTATTTCATGGATTTTCGAAGTATAAACAAGCACGTAAAAGCGAACAGAGAACTTTCATAGATTTAAAGCTTATCAGAGTGAAAAGCGGCAAAGGTGGTAATGGATCGGCGTCGTTTTTTAGAGATGCATTTCGGCCCATGGGACCTCCTGATGGTGGAGATGGTGGTTATGGGGGAAATATTTATGTCAATGCGGTTAACAACATTACCTCATTGCATAAAGTTAAAAGATCGTATGAAGCGAGAGACGGAACCCAAGGAATGGGAAAGCAATTAGATGGTAAAAATGGCGAAGATGTCATTATTGAAGTTCCTGTTGGTACCACCGTCAGATGGGTTCCAGATCCTCTCGAACTCCGGAAGTATTTACAGGCAACCCAACAAAATTTGGATCAAATTAATTTGAATATTAAAGGTACTGGCCTTAAAAACGATTATATCCAATTTTTTAGGGAAAGTTTCAAAGCAGGCGAAGGATGGATTTTCAAAGAGAAAGAAGAAGATTATTTTCTTGAGAGGAAATTTTTCAATGATTTAAATGAAAAGGTTAAAGAATATGATACGGAAATAATAAATGAAGAATTATACGAAGATAATTTCCCAATGATGGGAATTGACTTTGATAAGCCCACCTCTAAACCTGTCTTACTAATCAAAGGAGGAAAGGGAGGTATGGGAAATATGCACTTTTTAACGAAAGATATTAGAAATCCAAAATTTTGTAAAATGGGAAGAACAGGGTTAACTAAATTCTTTTTGCTAGAATTAAAATTAATTGCTGATTTGGGCTTAGTTGGATTACCAAATGCTGGTAAGTCAACACTATTAAGGGCCATATCAAAAGCCAGACCAAGAGTTGGACACTGGGAATTTACTACTTTACAGCCAACTATAGGAACAATATTCACATCAATTGATAAGGATCCATTCACAGTGGCTGATATTCCTGGAATAATTAAAGGTGCATCGGAAAACAAAGGTATGGGCCTTGATTTCTTGAGACATGTAGAAAGGTCTGGAGGTTTGGTCTTTGTTATATCTTTAGAATCGAAAAACCCAATAGAAGATTTATTGACTTTGATTAATGAGGTAGGACCTAAACGGATGTCTAATAAGAAAGTATTGATAGTTGCAACAAAAGCTGATTTAGAACAAAAAATTGACAAGTATAACGATTTAAGAAAATTCACTGAAAATAGGGCTTGGAAAATTGTACCCGTATGCGCAATTCGTGGCGAGAATATTGAAAAGTGTATCAAAATGATGAGTGAAACTGCTCAAAAATAGTCTTGTAAATAAACCTGTTGGTGCTTTGCGTGGCCACCTTATCCACGCATTGATTATACGTAACCTAATACCTTGTATATACATAAACTTCTATCTGTTAATAAATACTTTTTAAATTGGGTGCGAATTTTCAGTACATTATATATCACCCACTTTCAATGTAAAACAAAACAACTTATACATCAAGAGACTTTAACTAGATGTAAATACTCATTTGGGTGTTTGTATTTCCTTATTAATGAACTCTTTTTCTGTATTTTAATTTTTTTCTGAATTTAATAATTTTTGTAGAATTTTGAAGAATTTTTCAAGAATGGAGCAAAATCTAAGTATATTGTTAAGAACTTCAAAGAGTCAAATCTTAATACGAAACAATGCAACAAATGACTGCTTTAATAAAATAAGCATTTAACATGATAGTTATCACCAGTATTTTAAGTTTAATTATTCAATTGAAATTAACTACTCATGATTGCGGCCAAGTTATAAATTACGAAATGTACTATAAATTGATAATAGTAGCAAGTCGATTGCATAGTCAAATTAATTTTAATTTCATATAGAAGTAAATTTATACTTAAATAGGTATATATACAAGTGTCTTTGATATACTTTGGTTAATATTTACAGAATTTATTATGGTTTTACTGAATTGAAGCTTTCATTTCTACTTTTCCAACTGGTACAGCAGCCAATTCACCATCGCTATAGGAAGCTCTAAAAAATGAATAATTCAATACAACATCCTCGACGTTCCTCATTTGTGGATCTTTAGCGAAGTCAGGATCTATAAAAAAGAAAACGGGCATGTCAACTTCTTCTCCCGCACTAAGCCTTTGTTCTTCAAAACAGAAACACTGAATCTTGTTAAAATATGGGGCAACTACTTCTGGGGTAACAGAGTAAGTAGCCATACCTATTATATCTTCCTTTGACATATTCTTCGCTTTATAGAAAGCCAATGCAGTTTCACCTGGCACAACGTAGACTTCTCTTTGTTGAGGAGTAAATTTCCAAGGCAAAATCCCTGATGCCTGACATGTAAATTGAATTCTTATCCTTTTATTAGTATCAACTGGAATAAGCTTATCCGGCGTGAACCTAGTAGAATCAGTGATGGGTGTTCCACCGTATCCAGTTCTTTGACAAATTGCTCTATAAAGTGGCACTGCCGCAAATCCCGCTGCTAAGAAAAGAACAATGACAGATGCAGTATAGTAAGCAGCAGTTCTATTCTTAAAACGAGCTCTTTCGAGTCTGTCATTAGATACTTTTTGCAATTTCTGACGATAAAATTCTCTCAGTTGGTTATCCAGTTTCTGAAATGCTTTTGGAGTAAGATGTAATCTTCTAATATTTAACAGAAAAATGTTATTTTTATAGATAATTGGAGAATTTACTAATAATCCAATTCTGCCAGCTTTAAACATTCTTGAGTTATTTTATCTTTCCATATGGTATTGAATTTGGCTAATGATAAACTTGTTTAAAAAATCCAATTCACTTTTTTTCATTTATGCGAGCGAGTACTACACAGGAACTAAATTACATACTATTATTAAATGTCTATAAAATGCTAATTAGGTACTAAAGATTGTAATCTTTCAAGTGAATATTGATCATTCATTGTCATTAATTGATTGAAGTCAGATTCCTGTAGGGTTGCTCGTAACCTGTTTATTACTTCAACTAAGAAATTTCTAACATTTATTTTGTAAACTGGATCATTCTCATTAAGCAAAATCTGATATCTTATCTTTTCTCCATGTGGTTTGATGTTAGGATCTAAATAACAATATTCATCAATGTCTTCATAAACGAAATCCTGATTATAAGCCATGCAATTTCCATCCACAGTTTCATTAATTTCTTCTAAGAATAGTAAAGCTCGTTTAGTAATATCAGCAAATTTAAGCGAAACAGCTTCGTTCTTTTTTGGGATGGCATCAGAAATTAGGGAAAGCAATCCTAACAAATTAATCTTTTTATTACGCGGGTTTCCATTACGGTTGTAATACTCTAACCAAGTGTCTAGGAACCTAGAAGAGTCAATAGATAAATGATCTAAAATTTGCAAGAAGGCTTCACCCGACTTGTAGGCCAATCTAGAGAAGACCAAAAACATTTTGTTAGCAGAGACAATGGACTGATTTGGATCCAAGGAGTAATTTAACATTGCATTGAAAAGTCCACTGGAAATAAGAATATTAACAAAGGACTCATCCTGAATTTCCCTCAAAAATAAAACGTCCATAAAAGAAACAAATATTGAATATGAATCATCCCTCATATTGGACATATAGCCTGATAAAATTCTGAATAATTCTAATCCTAAATCGCCTCTAAATAAATCTGGCGAAATTAATGCGTAGCTTCTAGTGATGGACAAAATTACTGGAAGTATCTCAGTTGAATTAACTAACCCAAACTGAATTAATTCAGATAATCTCAATATTTCACTATTATTAACTTGCGAATTTGGACAATATTGCAAAAGAGCTAACCATAAGTCATAGCCGTCTTCAGATAATAACGAATAAAGATCCGAATTTTCAGAACAACAATTACGAATCAATGGTATGGCAATTGAATATGTTTCAAACGAATTATCATTCAAAGAGATAACCAAATTCTTCAATATCCTTAATAAAGAATTTTTTAATATTGACTCATTTTCACTTTCTGAAGAATTCCAGTAATCGGGAATGACTGAGAGAATACGGATTAATGTATTATGATCTATTAATGGATTGAACCTTGCTATTAATATAGCTAACGTGTTTAAGACGTACAATTTCGATTCAGTGAAGTTCATCTCTGTTAAGATGTTAATTGAAAGGCCAACAAATTCTTGCAAAAATGGTTGGAAATCAAGTTTATTGAAATCCCAATCATCAATGACAATTCTGAGTGTTTGTATTGCGGTTAATTTGACAACTTTATCATTGATTTTATTGTCAGGCTGCAAAAAAGTAATAAGTAATTTATAAATAGAAACTCGGCTTTCAGCTGAGCACTTAATTAATGCCCACTCACTTATAATTAAACAAATTCTTCTTTTCAAAACTTTACAATCGGTCAGATCATTTCTTAACCCTTCCGGAATGAGGATATCTCGCAAAAGCTTATCGAAATCAACATTGTCTGCAATAGAACTAGCCGATAATTGAAATGTGCATAAAATTGAATCTTTTATTAAAATATCGTCAGTTGATTCATTATTCATTAACCCATTTGATAATTTATTCAAAATAAATCCAGATAAATCGTCTCTGAAATACTTTATCAAGTCCTGATAGAAATTTTCAGCACATGGTCTTATTTGGAACTCCCAGCTTGAAGATAATTCTTCGTTACACCATTCCTCTGGTTCTAAAAGCCAACTCTCCAAGTCTGAAGGTTTCAATCTAAGATACCAATTTATAATCAAGTCACATAAATGCTGAACTACGTTAGTGGTAAAAAACTTCTGAGAAAGTTTATTAATTGCATTCTGCACTTCTTCTTTGTCATTTCTTTGTTTCAAAGTTATAGCACCTTTCTTATAAATATATGTTATCATTTTCTTCAAAATACTGAAACCCTTTAATGCTAGAGTTTCCCAAAAATCATTTTCTTCATTACTATTATAAATAACTTGGGCTTTCAGCTCCAATAAAGATAAAAAGGTAGACATTATATTTTGCGAACAAGGCAACAATATAAAACTTGTTGGATTATTATTAATCAAGTTTACATATAACTTGCTGTAGCACTTACCGTATCTCTCCAATAGGTCTGATGAGTATTTTTCATGCTCCATAATCAAAGCTTGCAAATGCTCAACAGTTATTTTCAAAAATTCTACAATGTCTTGGTTTTTATGAGGTTGCTCAAATCCCTCAGGAATAAGCCTTCTTAAGTTTTTCAAGCAGAGATAGCAGATTTCCATTAAACCTAAATTTAACGTACTTGTGAAGTCCAGAAAGAATTTTAAATATAGTTTGATCAACATTGGAACAATTATAGGTGCCTTACTTTGCATCGCATGTCTTGCTCTTCCAATTCTAACCATAGACACTGTTTTGATGATTTGATTCAATATGATGAGCAAATTGTTCGTCGATACAAGATCATTTTTCTGGAAGACAAATTCTTCCAAATTCTTAGTTATATCGTCAAATAATGAGGGCCATTCTCCAGGGAAATCAAATCTCACAATACGTGCAGTTGAATGTGCATTTTGAATGGTTAGCTGATTATTCTTTTCATGAAGGACGCAAAAAAGTTTTGCCTTGATCTGTGCTTTTTCCTCTTTGCTAATTGCATTAGACCTCGAAGATCTCCAGTACTTTTCGACACCATTCTTGAAGCATATAATGGCTAACCATCTTATCTGCAATGGTAGTTCGGTCTTGAGGTAGATGTCCTGTAGCAAATAATGGTAGCCAGGATGCGATTCCCAAGATTTTAATTGAGACTCCGCATCCTGCTGATATGAATTTCTCTCCGAATCATTAGCTACTGTTAGCACCTTTAATAGATTATCGTAATTCAATTCCATGTCGTTAGTCTTATATACTTCACATGAAGCAATTCTTTATGATATGAATGATATTTTATTCCCCATGATAATGGTATTTACACTACTTAGATGAGTTAACTTGCAGTCTATCATAATACTAACTATATAAATTAACTTACACTAGCTAATTCCATCTCTTCTCTTCATCTCCCTCAGCCCACGAATGCTCTTCATAATTGAGTTCCTTTTTCACTCTTGATACGACTTCTGGATCACCCATATTTTTACCAAGATTGTCACTGATTTTGATTGAAGGATTACCATTAGCCTCTTTCAATTTAATGACAATATTAAGTGGAACAGACTTAACAGACGGATCAGATACAGACATGAAGTCGTTTGTGAAAAATGTTCCAATACCGAAAGAAGGGATTAATCCTAAGCCATTTACTTTTTGCTTATATTTTAAACACTTCTCAATATTTAAGGAATCACTGAAGCAAATTATTTTAGTGAAATCTTCATACCCTTGCTTCTTATAGTGATCTGCTAATTTCTCAGCAAATAATTCAGGATCACCTGAATCTTGTCTTACACCAGTATAGTAATCAGTGTAGGGTTTGGTGAAGACCTTTAAGTACGCATCAGTTCCGAATGTATCTGTTAAAGCCAAACCGGCATGTTCGGGGCCAAAAGTATCTAACCAGTAGTCCATGGCAAGTTTATTGACATTTGTATAGTCTTGTGTAATCGATGCAATACCCATAAACCATTCGTGAGCTACTGTTCCGATAGGTGTTAAGTCATATTTTTTCGCTAATAATACATTTGATGTTCCTAAAAAGTGCTTCTTATCTGGATTCTTTCGAGCGAAATCAGATAGAGTCCTCACAACTATATCTTGCGTCTTGAATGATCTCCTACGTCTAGTACCAAATTCACTGAAAGTGCACCCATTCTTGAATAACTGTGCACACTTGTCTTGGGCACGTTCCTCTTGACCATCGTAGTTCCAATCGGTATCAACAAATTTAAAATAAGCTTCTGATATCAATGATAACAATGGAATCTCATATAAGATAGTTTCGTCCCATTTGCCGCTCATTTCAATTTCAAATTCTTCAAAGTTGCCTTCGTCATTAAAGTACTTGATTTGTTTGTCAGGGAAGAATTGAAATGTTTCCAAATATTTTAAGTATACCTCCGGCATTTGTGGCAATGCTGTACGTAAATATTCAATTTCCTCTGTACTGACCCTTAATTCACTCAACTTCGATATTTGATGCTTCAACCAATCAATTGCTTCTTTGTTCAATACCATTGATGGCGTTCTGTTTGTATATCTATATACAACTGGAACGTTTGGGAAATGCTTCACAACTGCAGCATGCATTGTCAACTTATACAAGTCAGTATCCAATATGGATGAAATAATCGGAATGTCCGTTGTCATCGTCACTTATGTCTATGTTTATAACGAACAGTATCAGTTAAACTTTATTTAGTGTTTGTTATACTTCGAAATACTGCATTCGCGATACGATTTTCGCTTGCCTGAATAATACCACTTAAAATGAGGAACACTTTATCTGGACTTGCCGTAATGAGACTTGCCACAGAGAGATAGGAGTATTATAAGAATATTGTACAATAAGACCTACAATAAACAAAAAGCCCCAATCATTGATAGCAGGAACCAATGGTAATGCGAGGTAGTTACGTGCGAAAGTGGTTTTCTTACTTGGAAACGTAATTTGACAATCTTAGGAAATCTGTTGGGACTCTTATGATCTAAGCATAGCATATAATAACTAGTACGAATTAGACTACAATGATTAGTTAACTCATTTCATAGTGTAAGTTCCAATTAACTCAGGAACATTAAATTTAACCTTAAAGATAATCATGTAATTTGGATTTAAATATACGCATATGGGCTACAGATTACCAAAGTGATATTTGTAACTTGTATTGAAAGAGGGGGACCTTTCGTGTTAATCAGTTATATCGTACTACTTAGTATCCTAAATAACTTTGAGGTATTTTGCAACCACTCTGACTTGATAAAACCTTAGTTAAACGATTATAAAAGTAACATTGTCAAAAAAGAAAGGAGCTCGACATACTAATTGATAAAACTATTAGCCAACATATATCTCTGGACAAGTTAATTGTTTTGAAAATCAAAAAATAAATAAAAAAGA